TAACCAAAAAATATAATAACAAATCTCTTGCTTTGTATAGAGCTGACAAGCTTTAGCTCTGTTCTAAAATAGAATGGCTCCATAATAATAATAATAAATCTCAAATTATATACAATCATTGATCAGTAAAAATAAACGAGCCGACAAAGTGCTAGGAAAGAAAACATTGAAACGGAAATTATAGATTGAATTTAATAGATGAATGCACCATATACTTTCCGAGTGGGTGCTGGAATACAAAGTTAGAGCATTGATCAAGCTAACACTACATACATATATCTCCTACCCATTATCCCTCAGGCTAAACAAATTAATTGCAAATCGAAAATCAAAGCGAAGCGAGGCCAACTGCCCCTGGGGCTAGCTGTGAAACAGGTTTCACTGTAATTAGATTCATTTAGAGATTAGAATAGCAAAATATATACACATATATATATATATATGTATTTCTGACAATCTTGATAAAAATATATACATACAAAAAAAAATAAATATATAAATGATGACACGATCGTTCATATTCATAAATTCGCATTTCTAATCTAATTTTCAGGTTCCTTCTACCGAAGATAAGAGCCTTTTGTTTGTTTACAAGCAAAGAAACGCAAAGAAAAAACAACAAAAACAAAAACAAAAGAATAGTTGACACTAGTGCCGGCAGCGACGCGCGCAGCGCAGTTGCCGTTGCTGACTAACTGTTATGCAAAATCAAAATTCGAATTTTTGCTTGCCTTGAACGTGTGAAAGTTATTGGCAAACGTGTGTGCATGTGTGTGTGTATATATACATGTGTGTGTGTGCTGTAAATTTACCTGTCTATAGATGAACTAATCGCAGTGGCTCCTCCAAATGACACACGCAAAATATGTGGCAGGTATAAAAAAGACAGAGGGAGAGAGACAAAAGCAGAAAAAAAAACAATTCGCTAAAATCTCCTCTGCGCCTTTTTTTGATCGAATTTCTGTTTCGTTGAGTTGGGTTCGTTGAATTGTTATTTACTTCTTTTTATTTTGAATTTTTGTTACCGGCAAACACACGTACATATGTATAAACACTTGAGTAATGAATGGGTGTGACTAATCCTTTTTGCCGTTCGCTAATAATTCGTGCTTTTTGGCTTTTGGCTTTAGGTTCTTTAAGCTCGTTTGGCAAAAATATAAATCATATGTCGCTCCAAAACAAAAACAAAATTATATACATATACATATAGACAAACAAACAAAAAAAATAAAACAATTGCCGCTGCTGCTGCTTCTTCCTCGAGTTCGTCTTCTTCTTGTTGTGTGTGTGTGTGTGTGGAGTTGAGTTTCGTTGTTTTTCTTTAAACCGAGCGTCGGCACGTTGCAATCGATCGAGCACCAAAATCAGACTGAAGTTCGCCCATTCAGAATCAAAGCCGCGTAAAGTGGACGGCCAGCCGGGCCGAAGCTTAGACAGCAGCCGCACCAGCGGCAGCGCTGTCGATGACGACAGCGCAGCGCAGCGCAGTCAGTGAGCAAAGATATGACCGAATACGACAACAAAAACAATCCGCGAAGATGACAGCGACTTCGTCGTCGTCGTCGTCGTCGTCGCCGCCGATCGAATACTATGCGTGCTTGTGTGTGCGTGCGCTGCCGCCGCCTTGGCTTGCGTGCGTGTGTGTGCGTCTCTGAGTTGCCCCCACTATCAGTGCAGCGGCCGCTGTCAGCTGCGCTGCGCTGACTTTTTATGTGTGTAAAGCAAAACAAAACAAAACAAAACAAAAACAGCGGCTCAAATATAGCCAGCAACAGAACAAGAACAAGACGAACTGCCGCAGCAGCAGCAGCAGCAGCAGCAGCTCAGCTGAATTTTTGCCAAAGACAATAACAACAACAATAACAGCAACTATAGCAATATGTAACGGCGTGTTGTTTTTGTTCTGTAGGACAACATCGACTACCGATTAAAGCTTGCGCATAGGAGAGTAGGCAGAATTGGTTTTTCTGCTCAGAGTGTGTGTGACTAACTGCACTTTGACTCAGTTAAGGCTTTTGTTCTTCTAAGTAAATCGAGTTTCAAATTACGCTATAAAATTTTGGTATTGTTTATATCGGAATACATATGTATATACAAATACAAATGATAATTAAGCCGTAATTAATACACAGTTACGGTCTGTGTTTATAGTGAAAATACTGAGAAAATATTGAAGTAATGCTTAGAGCTACATACATACATATGTATGTATTAGTATTATCAATTTAGTGGAGAACTCCATTAAGTTTCGTTATGTATAACTTATGTTCTATTTACATACATACATATGTATGTATGTATGTATTTTAGTTAGGGCCATTTTAGTTAGCCATGCGCGGCTAAAGCACATTCAACTTCAACTGTTTACAGTTCAGTTTTTGGCTAATGATGCGACGTCTCATACCTACACACACATACATACATATATGTGCATATATGTATGTATATGTACATACATATATCCATAATTATATTGCCAGTGGGATATAGCTAATCGATCGTGCTCAAATGGCTAAAAGGAAAGGGAACAGCAAAATTACGGCAAACGTGTTCCAGTGCACAGTTGACCAATCAATCGGTGTGATATTTGTATTATACATACATACATATGTATATTACAATTAAAAATAATAATATAAATCACTTGAATGGCATTTACATATACATACATACATACATACATACATATGCACATATTTTGTAGGTGTTTTTATTATTATAATTAGTCTTGTTGTTGTTGTTGCATTTGCCAATTGCGCTAGCTTTTGTCAACAGCCAAAGACGCCCCCACGCGGCAAAAAATCGTAACTCAGACTAAGCTGCGCGCAGACAAAACAGAAATGAGAGAAACGCAAAATGTTAAAAAAAAAAAACAGAAAAAAAAAGTTAGTCATGCAGACGCTGCGCAGACGTCGTGGCTAGACTAGCAGCCGATAAACGATAGACGATAAGCAATTTACAATATGGCAATAGCCAATAGATAGAGCAAAGCTGCATGCATACATATGTATGTATGTACATACATACAATGTATGAGAGTTTTTTCTTAATGCTGTTCACTTGCTGCTGCGGCTTCTGCTGCTGCTGCATTTGGCCAAGTGCCATGTGAACTGGTGGCAACTGTTGCAGGCTGTTGCGCTAGCTATATACATACATATGTATGTATGTATGTAGCCAACTGGCAGACAGACAGATGGCCATAGCGGGTGTCTCTGTGTGCCAATTGCGGCTCAGGTTTATTGATTTATTTTTCATGCAGTTAGCGTCAACGTCAGCGCCGCGGCCCACGCGACACACTGGCTTCAAATCATGGCCGAGAGATTGGCGCAATTGTAAAGCGGCCAACGCGCAAATGTTTGAAAAAAAAAAATAATAATAAAAACAACGAATAAATTTCAAGTGCTCCAGGCGGTTCTACAAACGACTAGAAGATGCTCTATACCTGTGCAGTTGGGTTTGACAGTCTAAGCAAAGCAAAGCAAAGCATTGGTACATTTATCGATAAATAACTTGATGTATAAATATGGTGTATGTTATCGAATTTATTGGGAGAGAGCAGCGCATATTGATGAGAGGGCCTAAGACTGAGCTATCGACACATAATGCTTCCTAATAGCTGACTAAATGCATAATCGATATTTATCGATATACACCAAATTTGTATTATTGTTATTATTAACAATATTTTCATATGCATATGCGATCAGGTTACTAAATAAGTTATTGAGACATGATATACATACATACATACATACATATGTATGTGCATATATCACACTGTACTCATGTATAACTATGGGTGCGTAGGACTATATGGACTATATTTAACATATACATATGTACATACATATGTATGTATGTAAGCGTATACCCGCTCAGCGTGCATTTGCCATGGGAATTGCAGGGTATAAGAACAGAAAAACTTGCCACTCGCTAATGCTGCCTGACTGACCGAGCATCAGGCATCGGGCATCGAGCTGCGGGCACAGGCTACGGCAAGCTGTGGCGTCATCGGTGCAATGCGCTCCGAAGGAGCCTGGCGGCCAACTGGATTTGTGGCTTGGAGTGGCGGTCAGGCGAGTTCAGATGCTGCACGAAATTGATTCATGTGGCGATGAGTCATCATCGCTTTATCAGCCAAACGGCGAAAGAGCGAGAGAGAGCGAGAGGGAGAGAAGGGGCAGCGGCAGCAGAAAAAGATAGCTATAAAACGCGACTCAGACGTGGCCGCTGTCGCCGTCGTCGTCGCCGTCAGCGTCGCTGTCGCCGTCGCTGTCAGCGCCAACGTTGCGACGGCTGCTGCGTGGGCTGATTAACGTCTGCTGCTATTTTTGTAGATTTTACGTATTTATTAGTGTTATTATTATTAATATAGATGTTTCGCTATTGTCGCTGCTCGTACATCATTTTGGCCAAGTTAGAGGCGACGTCATCAATGCTATAAAAAAAAACAACTTCTATTTTAATGACTTTTTAACGATAATTGGCCCGCTGAGTCTAAGCCAGCTCAGCGCTGACGGCCCACACACATTAGCCGCGAGCCGGGCCACGCCAACCCCATAAATGACCCAATTTGGTCAGGTTGAACCGGGTGCCTGGGCTCGTCATCCATGCATCTATGTGTGTGTGTGTGTGTGTGAGTGAATCTCCATAGCTAGTTCTCGAAACTCTTCCACTCTGTCTCTGTCCGTCTGCGCTTTAAAGGCAATGACTGACGCATCCAGCCACAGCGGAGAGCCAATGAACTTGCCAACAGGTGGCTCCAAGTCCAGCCAGAGAGACAGAGCAACGAACGAGGGAGCTCAGCTGAGATTCGCATAGAAGGTAGAGCAACGCCAGGCTAGAGCTACGCCAAAGATCTGACCCACTTATGTATGTATGTATGTATGTATATACCCAAGCCAAATATATGCACATATCAATTGCAAGTCTATATATATGTATGCATGTATGTATGTATGTATATGTAATTTCGTTACTTGTACTTTCACATCGCTTACCATTTTCCTTAGCAGCTCCTCGTTTTGTATGGCACCCAAATCGCATTCCAGTTCCATGGCAGGCGACAAAAAAAAAAGAACTATAACAAAAGGAGAAAACCATTAAGCATGTGAGTAAAATGAAAATGTCTGATGATCTGAAGGCGGCCATCAGATGATGCAATTCACAATTGCACACCCTGTGCACATAGTGCTAAGGGTATGCCTGACACTTAGGTAATGTATGCCTTGAAAATCTACCTGAAGAAACTTTTACTGTTATTGCTTATGTTAGGGTGCCTGGGGTATACCTAGTAGATTGTCTATTAGGCAAATTCATTTTCACTTGACACGCTGAGTGAGTCATAGGGTATCTGCAAGGCGATCATTTTCGATTAATGCATATGAGCTACTCTGGAAAAACTAACCTAGGGTATCCTGCAGTCTATCAGTTCTGCTTTTATGACTTGCAACACGGAAAATTACAATTCAGGCTTACAATTTGTGTACATATGTATGTACATATACATTTATATATTTTATATATACATATGTATATGTATGATGGGGTATCTTTAAGTCGATCAGCTTTACGTTGTTTGCCAGCCCGAAATCGGAACTCTAAGGCCTTCAGGGGTCGAAACCTAAGCATGATGTGATATGATGTGTAGTAAGTTTTAGGATATTTAAAATTTACAGTTCAAGCCTCTTAAGTATTTCGGACCAAGAGAAAAATCAAGCACAGAGTATCTGCTCGTCGATCAGGTACATTTCTTAGCAAGTTCAGCTTCTTCTGCTATGAAGTATAGTTCAGGCTGACTTGCTGACTTTCGTTTAACGTCAATCATCAAATACAGGGTATCTGCCAGTCGATCAACTGCTGCTTATTTTTGTTGTAAACACTAAATCATAGTTCAGGCATGAGAGCAATCATAAATATAGAGATATATATGTATGAATATACATATGTATAAGTACAGGGTATGTGCCAGTCGATCAATTGCCATTTGGCATCACAAACAAATACGTAGCTGACGTTCAAGAGTGTTCACATACATACATACATACACATATGTACGTCTATAGGTTATATATGAGAGAAATACAAATGTATATAGGGTATCAGCTAGTCCGTCAATTGCTACCTCATAGCCATCTTCATTTGTATCAACTACAAATTCATAGCTCATAGACTTCAACACTTGTATAGCTAATAAAAAGGAAAACACTGCCTCTATAGGGTATCTGCTAGTCCATCAATTGCCATCTTATAGCCATCTTCATTTGCATCAACTACAAATTCATAGCTCAGAGACTTTAACACTTGTATAGCTAATAAAAGGGACAAAACTGCCTCTATAGGGTATCTGCTAGTCCATCAATCGCTGCTTGTGGCCACTGTAACTTGTTGCGCCTACAAATGCGAATGCATTTTTCATTTTGATTCATTCGCTGCGGTTTCTCAAGTCTAGATACTTTAGCTTCAATCGTACGTACATAGATTCATTAAAATTATTTTCAATTTATCATGATTTATATATGTATATATGCGTGTGTGTGTGTGTGTGTGTGTTTGTTTGTTTTTATTTTTATTGCACTCCAGCTTGGCGACGAGGCGAACCAGATCCCCACCAAGTCCAAGTCCCCAAGTCCCAAAACAAGTTGTGACATTTCCCCCGTAAATGGTTAAAAATGAAACATGGCAAATGACAACGCGTTGTTGTTGTTGTTCTCGATTGTTGTAATTGTTGTTGCTGTGTTTTTTTTTTTTTTTCAATTGTTGCTGCGGCGACCGCCAGCGCGTCACATTTGGTTTCACAATTTTGGTTAAGATCAACACGATGTTCGGTCAAACGTCAATTTGATATCCAAAGCACGTTCTCAGCGCACCAACTGGCCAAAAGTGTTCTAGGTGGGCGTGGCCAGAGAGAGAGAGCGCGCGAGAGGTAGCGGGTGCCGGGGAGTAGGTGCGGCTGTTGACCATCCAAGCGGCCGTAAGCCAAACAAGTTCAAAACCGCAATTGGGCAAATAGGCTGACGTCTCTCAATCAATCAAACCATCAATCAATCAGTCAGTCAATCGAACAGTTGGCCAAGAGTTGGGGTCAGCCGCAGCTGGACAATTGAGTCAAGTGCATGAAAATTATGTGGAAAATGCAGAGGAAAACATTTGCTTCGAATTGAAAATCGTTTTGAAAGCCAAAGAAAATTCGAGATAAGAGATAAAGGAAGAGATATATGAGATATAAGATAATGGGAAATATACATATACATATATATTTATGTTTTAGATCTTTTATCTTTCATATTTTATATGAAAAACTTTATATTTTATATTTTATATGTTATAATTCATATTTTATATTTATGTTTTATATTTTACATTTTATATTTTACATTTCATATTTTATATTTTATATTTTATATTTAATATTTAATATTTGTTTTATTTTATATTCTATATTTTATGTTTTATATTTTATATCTTATATTTTATATTTTATATTTTTTATTTTATAATTTATATTTTATATTTTATATTTTATATCTTATATTTTATATTTT